GCCACAAGAGCAACCCCTGTCCCTCCCTCCATAGGTGCTTCAGGAGCAACTGCTTCTTCTTCTGTGGGTGCTGCAGGAGCAACTGCTTCTTCTTCTGTGGGTGCTGCAGGAGCATCTGCTGCTGCTTCCTCTGTGGCTGCTGTAGGAACAACCCCTGTGCCTTCCTCCATAGTTGCCATGGAAGTACTTCCTTCTCCTTCTTCTGTGGGAGCATGTCCTGCATCTTCCTCCTTGGCAATACTGGCTTCCTGCTGCAATGAACAGAACAACTCAGAATCTGAGCATTGAGGAGTGTAATTAAAATAGTCTATCTTTCAACATGCTGGAAACATAGAATTTTTTTCTACCTGAGCCAAATATTAATTTTAACAATTAAACACAGACTTAATGTTAATTACATTTTCCCCTTTTCACTTCAATGTAACAATTTAGGAATTCAAAGTCTAACAAGAGCCAGGAATCAAGTTACTTTCATATATATATATATACTGTGTTGTGGCATGACCTTAAGGGAAAGATTTTGTATTGCTACATTTCATTTTAAAGTGCCTTGAGAAAACAGGAAACATGTAATGAAAAACAATACAGTAATAGAAACAAAAGAGATAGAAAAATATTGATGGTGCTAGAACAGAATGAGAATAATGTATATCGAATTACACAGTTAGAGATATATTTCATCATAATTTTCATATTCTTCTATTAAGACAATTATTTGTAAATTTACTGGATTATTTCCCAAGTGAGGAATCGTGCGTACTTACCTCAGCAGGTGGAGCTGTGGCCACTTCATCACCTTGATTTGGACTGGTATCTTTCTGCTGTTCAGTTTATTCATTAATATAAAAGAAAAAAAATAATATACATATAAGAAAATAGCATTCTGAGTGAAGATAGAATAGGCAGAATCCAATTTCTTAAAGCCTGCTTGTACTTTACAGTCTTTACAGTTAATTTCTAGATTCTGAAGATGATTGGCTATTTTATTTTTATTTTATTCTATTTTTATTTATTATTGTTGTTTGGTCTTACTATTTTATTGTTTTTATTTTGCACATTGTATTCATTTTATTGTGTAATCCCACCTCGATCTGTAGGGAGAGGCGGGAAATATAAATAAAAATTATTATTATTATTATTATTATTATTATTATTATTATTATTATTATTATTTAACTGCCACAACTTTAACATTTACAACAAAACACATTAAAATATCCCCCCCCTGACTCTCTCTTCTCTCTATAAATATATAAATATATATATGTATATAAAAATATTCAATGACAATAAGCTCCTCAGTTCAAATGTCTGATTCTTGAGACAGCATCTTCAGAGCTTCTATGGTTCATTTCAATATTATTTTAATTCTTTAGAGCATCATGTATACATTACCCCTTCATGTTCCGTAAGCAGCTCTTTCTCCTCATCTTCTGCAATCTCTCCATGCTCTGGTTCAGCACTGCATTTTAAAATTAAAGAAAAAATATTTTAACACCATCAAAGATATGTTTAAATTTTGGTGTGATTGAATATTAATGCCAGTTTGCAAGACAAAGCAATAAAATGAGACATTTGTATCCATCTTAGTTTAGGAAAATCAAGTGGATATATCAGCATTACTGACTTACAATAAAGCTTAAGAGCCCTTGAAAGATAAAAGGTGATGTGAATGACAGTGCTTGTTGTTACATGCCATTACATCAACTTTGACTTATAGCAATCCTATAAGACAGAGCTCCAACACACCCTGATATTAACAGCCCTGCTCTGGTCTTGCAAATTCAGGCTATAGCTTCCTTGTGATCCTCCTCTTTCCCTACTGCCATCAGATTTACCAAGCGTTATATTTTCTGATGGGTCAGATCATCTTATGATATGGCCAAAGTATGAATGACAAACCTAACAATGTCTTTAATAATAACTTTCATATACAGCTATGAAGCTAGACTGATGAGAAAAAAAATACAAGTTGAGAATTGAGCTATATTAGGAGTGGACAACTGCAACCCTCCAGAGGTTTTTGGATTGCTATTCCTAAAAATTCCTCACCACTGCTTATGCTGGTTATGGATAATGTATGCTGCAGTTTGACAGTAGATAGACAAGCACAGTTGCCAATCTGTTTTAAATAATACATGTGCTCTGAATTAGTTTCAGTGAGAGAAGATAAGCAGTAGATTCTGGCATCAAATCCAGAGGTGCAAGGTCAGAGGGAGAATGTAGGGTGGGAGGCTAGAATATAATGCAATAAAACTATAATGATGACTATTGCCTGAGAACTGAGAAGGGAGAAAAGTGTAGAATGCAACCGGCTGAGAGGCTAGTAGTTCTGGAGAAAGAGACACAATGGAATTACATTACTGTATAAACCAGAATGAAAATGGAATTACATTATTGCACAAATGAGGATGAAAATGGGAGAAACATGTGGGAAGGGAACTACAATGCTCTCTCTCTCTCTCTCTCTCTCTCTCTGTGTGTGTATGTAAAATTTACTGGATGCCCTAATTATCTTTACCATTTCAATTCTACATATAACTGAAATTATAAAGATAATTTTCAGACACCCTGTATATCCTGCCTTTCTCCCATTATGGAATCCAAGACAGCTTACAATGCAAGCTAAAACATAGCTAAAACAATACAAAGTTGTTTTTTTAAAAAAATTAAGCAGACAATCCAATTAATACATTAATTTAAAACATTTAAAAACACATTCAAAGTGTAGTTTTAAAAAAAGCCAGCACACCCCATTAAAAAAAAATCTGTCTGCCCCAAACCAGTTCAAAGCTGAAGGTTTGTTTAAATAAAATGGTCTTTTCCAGATAGCAAGAAGAAAGCAGAGAGAGGATCAAATGAGGGAGGGATTTCCACAGCCTAAGAGCAGCCTCTGAGAGATGGATGTGTCCATGTCCTCATCAGACCAGACCGGGAGGGTGGTGGGAATAAGAGAAAGCCATCCCAGAAGATCTGAGATAGGGTGGGTTTATGTGGGGAGATACAAGTGTCTTTCAGATACTCTGGGTGTAATCTGAATAGGGCTTTATAACAAGCACTTAGAATTGTGGCCAGGAATGGATCAATATACAGAGAAACTGTTTCAGCAAGGATGGGATAAAGGGCTAAAGAAATAAAACTAAGGAAAGATAATGGGGTGGTGGTGCAAAGAACTGATGAAAATGACAAAAGAGGTGTCTAGAATTGTGCAGTGGTAAAGGAGATGCTTTCAATTCTTCCTGAATAACGAAAAGTATAAGAAAGAAGAAGAGATTCATGCTTGACATGGATACTGGGAAGCTTCTTGTTTTGAGTGGGGGGGTGAGTACCATGTAGTGCAGCTCTATGGCTTTCAAGTTGTTTCTGACATATGGTGAACCTAAGGTGAACTTATGGCAGGGTTTTCTTGGCAAGTTTCTTCAGAAGTGGTTCACCACTGCCATCCTCTGAGGCTGAGAAAATGTGACTTGCTCAGGATCACCCAGTGGGTTTACATGGCTGGGCTGGCATTCAAACCCTGGTCTCCAGGGTCATAGTCCAATGCTCCAACCACTACACCACACTGGCCCCTTGGATATTTAATCACAAGCAAATTCAGCAGGCTTTACTAGATTAATTTACCCAGAATGGCAGATTTAGGAAGGAAAGATTGGAAAGAAGGTTAGGAAATCATAATGACTGTTCAGATGGGAGGAAAGTAGAGACCCTTATCTTGAATTCTGAAATCCAAAGTATTTAACAGAACCAAAACCTTTTCTTTTTAAAATCATTTTTACTGAACATCAGCATAAACGTGCTCTATTAACAATATACACATATTTCAACAATTCAGGTATTGGTAAAAGCTAAATGAAATATAAAATCATAAAGTCATAATAATATCATATTTAAAATATTAATATTGATCTTAATAACTAATTAATAATATTAATACTAATAAATGATGACCTTCCAAAAATATTTTTAAAATTAATAACTTAATTTCTATCAAAACATCAAGACGTCATGCGAACCTGTATTTAGAACCCATTTCCTGGCTATTTTTTATGCCACAGCTGTGTTGTTAAATATTTTACCTCCTGTCTTGCTTTCTGTCTTATCTGCTAATATCATCTCCAAATATCTCTCCCTTAACCCAATATTCTTTCCTCCCCTCTTTCTCTTACTTTCGTAACTTTCTCTACCTAGACTTTCTGTTCATATTCTATTCTATTCATATCCATCTTCTCATTCTTTCATTAACCTACTTTTCATTAACCAAAACTTTTTCCAGGGGTGGCTGAAATAGTGACATCTTTGCTTTCTGATGGCTCAATGTACACAAACTTTGTTTTGCACACACTATTAAAAATATTGTATAAAATTATCTTCATGCTATGTGTATGAGAAATGTAAATAAATTTTGTGTTTACACTTGGGTCCCATGTACAAGATACCTCACTATTTACATACATGCAAAGATAGGTATTCCAAATTAAAAACAAACATCTGAAACACTTCAGGTCCCAAGAATTCTCAACCTGTTTTCTAATAAAATGTGTTATGAAAGGGGGTTCCTGTGGATTTTTTTTGTGTGGGGATAGAGAATGGAGAGAAATGGAGGATGGTGGTGATGGGCTGCCTGAGTAGCATTCAGTGGATAAACTGATCATTGGATTTCAAGGGAAAGTGGTTTAAGCATTGGACTATAAGGACTCTGGAGAACCGGGTTCGAATTTCCACTCAGCCATGAGACCCACTGGGTGACCTTGGGCAAGTCACTCTCTCTCAGCCTCAGAGGATGGCAATGGCAAACCTCCTCTGAAGAATCTTGCTAAGAAAACCCCATGATAATTTGGAAACACCTTGAAGGCACACAACAAGATTTCAAGGACTCTTCTTTTACAGGACTTATTTCCCTTCCAACAACAGAATTAACACAAATGTCCATTTACTCCTTCGTATTTCAAGCTTCCCTTGTACAAGAACGCTACTTTTACAGCAATCTATTTGAAGAGTGAGCCAGCCTGGCATAGTGATTCGAGTGCTGGACTATGACTCTGGAGACCAGGGTTCAAATCCCTGCTTGTCTATGGAAACCCACAGGGTGACCTTGGGCAAGTCACACTCTCTCGGCCTCAGAAAACTCCACAGTAGAGTGAAAGCACAGAACAACAAATCTGAAGAATCCTGCATTTTTAAAATTCTGCTTAAATTAAATCAATGAAACAATGTTGATTGGTATATAATATACAACCCAAAGGAAAAGCACAGCAATATTGTATATCTGGATTGTATATTCTATAGTATATACCAATCTACAACCATGGCTTACAGAAATTCCTTTATTTAAAAACCTATGCTTCTTCAAGAAATAGTGATGTATTCATGTGTTGTTAAGTACGAAAGGGGCTGCATCCGCACTGCAGAAATAAAACAGTTTGAGACCGCTTTAACTGCCATGGCTCAATGCAAGGGGACTCAGAGAACAGTAGTTTTGTGACACATTTAGCCTTCTCTATCAGGGAGCTTTGGTGCCACAATTAACTACAGTTCCCAGGATTCCCTAGCACTAAGCCATGACAGTTAAAGCGGTGTCAAACTGGATTATTTCTTCAGTGTGGATGCATCCTATATTCTTTCCTTGCATTGGGGAAGCATTTTCGAAGAAAACCTTCCCTTGTCAGAAGGCGTCCCCCTCCTGAACCCGAGCCCAGTGCCTCAAACTGGTCCCAGTGCCTTAAACTGGTTCCAGTGCCTCAAACTGGTCCCAGGCCACTCACTCGCTGCTGCTGGGCTCCATCCTCTCTCCTGTTGCTAGGCGACGCTGTCAACATTCCGAGGCCTTCCTCCCCTGCCTTGCCCTGGGAAGATACCAACGGAGGAGGAGCGGGGGGGTGTACAAATGTGGTCCAAACCATCTTTTTGAATAGGTAGACTCGGAGGCTAGGCCATATTTTCCCAGGGAAAGGTTGACATTCGGTGACGAAACTATAGAGAGAGGAAAAACCAGAGTCACACATCTCTAAAACGAGGATGACGGAAATTTGAAAACAACCACAACAAGAAGGTGTCACAAACAATCCCAAAGATAGAAGGGAGACACTAAGAAAGTATAACTAAATAAAATAAATGTATAAATAAAGTACTGAGATAAGGCATGTTAAATGAATACTGTATATCCCAACCAAATGAAACCACCACTTAAACATGATACTGAATTATATTTCACAGTGACACCATGTAGCTAATGGTGAAAACCATCAAATACCCACACAAAATGCCCACATATAATAATAATAATAATAATAATAATAATAATAATAATAA